GATCATTTTGGTAGTTAAATCATCCAGATTGGTTTAGTAGATCAAAAGTTATTTAATTTTAAAATTTTATTATATATGTAATAAATATTAAATAGTTTGTTGTAGATATCATGAAAATTATGATTCAAAATTTTCATGATATCTACAATAATACCATTTAATATCTGATATATTCCCTGGATCCTAACGTTCTGTAATGTTTTCACTGATATTTTCTCTTCAGAACTTTTTCTTGCACTAAACTTTTTTTCTTACACATATCTTCTTTATCTTTTTTAAAGATAATTTTAATAAATAAAAATGCCTAATCAAAAACAAAAAAAAAAGGCTTGCGAAATATACCAGTTCCTATTTTTACTAGTACGTGCATTTATACTCCAGAAATTTTATCTGAAGATAGTGATGCCTCAAATATTATTACATCACAAAAATCAGTTTTAAACAAAAAATTAAAGTTCTATAAAAAAAAAGCTACTGTTCTAAATATGGAAAGGGCTACAAAAAATTGGATGGATAAGTTTGAAGAATTTCGTCGTAATTATAACTATGTAACATTGATCAATAGTATTGCTGATCCTCGCCTTATTGAATGTCAAGTATATGAATATATTGTACAAATGACTAAAAAAGATGGAGAAGAATATAAGGCTAAAAGTATTCAACAAGCAGTTGATAGAATAAATAGATATCTTGTTAAGTACGGGTTTATTCAGGGTTTAAATTTACATGACAAATACCAGTTTCCTAACTTGTATGATGTTGTAAATGGAAAAATGAAAGATTTGCAAGAAAAAGGATTGGGCGAAAAAGAAGGTTCAGTTGCACTAACAGCTCAACAAGTTAAAGATATTTTGGATGATGAATTTTTAGATCCAAACACACCTGAAGGTTTATTGTATCAGGGTTTTTTTCGCAATTTAATGATATTTGCTTGCCGTGGTAATAAGCATTGTGCTCTACAGATTAATCAATTTCAGATCCAAGCAGATGATAGTATTTTATTCTGTCATTATCATAGTAAGAATAACCAACGTAAAATTCTTAGGGGTTCTGCTCAAAATATTCACATGCCACCTGATTTACCTGGTACATCTGGGCCTGTTAGTGATATTAAAAAATATATTTCAAAACGCTCCTCAGATGCCTCTAGTAATTTTTACTTACATCCTAATCAGGATTGGCAAGTTACTGGTATTTGGTATCACAAGAAACATTGTGGAATTAATAAAGTTCAAAACTTTATAAAGGATATTGGAAATAAAGTTAAGGTAAAACTTCCTGATGGAATTCTAACTAATCACTCTGGAAGAAAACCACAGCCCAAATTTTTCAAGATGCAGATATTTCTAAAGATGCAATTATAAAAATTACTAGTTATAAAAGCTCCCAAGGTGTATGTGCATATAAAAAATATTAATGAGCAACAGCACATTAACACAATAAAAACTTTAATCAACACAATTGAACCATTAACTGACTCAAAAATATTATAAACCAAGACCCTTCTGTTATACTTGCCGAATCTACTAGTTCTTATATAAATATTAACTCATTTTCTGCACAAGGTACAACACCAATTGGTCAGAGCCAAATCGCTAGTGATTTTCAAAATCAACGTTTAATTTTTAATAATTGCCACTTTTCTAATATTATATTCAATTTATAATTTCTTTTAATCGTATAATTATTTTTATTATTGAAATTAAATTCATATTATGTTGTCTTATAGCTTACTTTTATTTTCTAAGGATTTAAATATTTTAAATATTATATTCGCAAATTCTATTTCTTGTA